GGGAGGGCGGGTGGGAACGCGGTTCGAAGACGCGTCTGCTGTGGTTCCCTGAAGTCGCGGTAGTGGGCTTTGATTGCCTCCGTGTGCGTGCCTGCTCAATGGTGATTCAGGCTACAAAAACGTCATACCGCCTTCCTCACATTGGACTCCGGGGGCTACTGGGAACTTGGTACCGCTCGGCCACTTGTCCTTCGCAGCTTAGATGGCGACTGCAGTTCGCACCACGTAGTGTTCAGAGCCGTGCAATATTTTTAGCCGATACACGAAAAACAGATGACTGTTCCACGGGTTTTTATGTTCGTTTTATTTTTTCCTCATCACTGATAAAAGATATTGCAGTTGATCATTATCACGTTCTGTCTCCGCACCTGTTTTGGTCGTCCACATGTCCGCTGGTATTCTACTACCAACCAGTGATCTTTATTTCAGCCATCCTCCACTTCTTGCCTGCTTATAAAACGACCACCTTAACGCTCACTGGTTTTTCTTGCATACTTTCGTGCCTGACAATTTTAGACCAATCGCCTCTTTTTTCTGTTTACCGTAGGGTTCGGAATTGCAGCTACCCTTCCAGGCCTGTCTGAAGGTTGAGAAGTTTGGTGATCTTATCCTCAAGGCAACTGAGCCCCAGATGGTCCTCTTCAACCTCTACGATGATTGGTTAAAGACAATCAGTTCCTACACAGCCTTTTCACGTCTCATTCTTATCCTCCGTGCTCTGCATGTAAACAATGACAAGGCCAAGGTCATCCTGAAGCCGGACAAGACCACCATCACAGAACCGCATCACATCTGGCCAACTTTGACGCCTGATGAGTGGATAAAGGTGGAGTACCAACTAAAGGACTTGATCCTAGCGGATTATGGAAAGAAAAATAAGTAAGTACTCTAGCCATTCGCTCATTCTCTATCACCATCCAACGTCAATGGGTGTGCATACCGAGGAGTATGACGAAACAGCTTCTACCTCAGTATATTCTGCCTGTCGGCTAACACTTTGATTTCGTTTTCCTACAGTAAACTAAAAGATACCTCCGTTTGGTTTGTCTCCTCAATAATGTAATTGCGTAGACCCCCAAAAGTTAAGTCCTGTCAAGAGAAGAAAAACTGATCGCCACTCCACCCCTTTTAGTTCAATTAGGCTAATCTTCTTTGATGTTGCATCAGGCAGTTTTACTCTAGCTACTACCGTAAAGAAATATGAAGTAGAATTGCAGATGTGTCCCGACCCATCCCATTTTGTTGACACGAAGTGCCTGTTTGTTGCCTCCAACACCTTGCGGTATCATAAGATAGGGAAAATTAGACCTTAAAAGTGCAATCTAAGGAAGTATGGGCAACCATCACCTTGTTACTTTCGTGCTTCGTTCGCCCCCCGAATGATCGTAATCTTGGGTTGTATCACCTCCATGTTTTATTTTCCCCATCCCCTCTTAAGCGTGAACGTGGCGTCCCTGACCCAGTCTGAAATTCGAGACATCATCCTGGGCATGGAGATCTCTGCGCCCTCTCAACAGCGTCAACAGATTGCTGAAATTGAAAAGCAGGCCAAGGAGCAGTCACAACTCACCGCCACCACGACAAAGACTGTAAATAAACACGGCGATGAAATCATCTCCACGACCACCTCCAACTACGAGACTGAGCACTTCAGCAGCAAAACAGAGTGGCGAGTGCGAGCTATTTCGGCAACCAACCTCTACCTTCGAACCAACAACATCTACGTCAGTTCTGACGACATTAAGGAAAATGGGTATACCTACATTCTGCCAAAGAACGTCCTCAAGAAGTTCATCACCATCTCCGATCTTCGGGCTCAGGTGAGATTCGTTGGCGCTTTTAATTGTTTTGTTTTGTCATCCGTTTTTGTCCCATGTTTGTTTACCGGAAGGGACCATAAGTTTGACTGGTAGTTTTTGGGCCTTAAATATTCGTCTACAGTTGGTGCACTATCTCATGAAAAACGTTGGAAAACGTAAAGAAAGTCATTTTGCGGGAAGTTAGCACACGCGACGTGCCCCCAAATATTATAGCAGTATAGTTAGAACTATAAGTAAAAACAACTCAGTTTGGTTAAGAAATTACTGTTTACTAGCATAAAAAATGTAATTTTCACAA